GGCTAAGGGAACCGGTAACGACCTGGTTTCCACGAGGCAGACAGACAATAGGGAAAAGGAACGAAACCGAAGGAGTTGAGTTCACTGCTCAGATCAGTATAACGGTCAGAATTACCTTTATTTTATCAAAAAAGATAAGGATTTTCGGAAACACAAAAAATAGGCATCAAGATGCCGATGACGAATTTTTTTTTTATCAAAAAAGAAGAGAATTGCACTATTTTACTCAATGTCACAGCGTCACAAACACTTAAGGTCCTTTTCTGCTTGATCGCAAAAAACTAGCTGAAGTGACCGCAACGATTTTTTCTACGACGTTGATCTGTGACTTGAATTAGATAAAGAGACCCTTACTAATAGACACTAAATGTTCATAGGTTTCCACACATACACACACTAAAATATAATAAATAAATTACCCTTTTGCACCAAGCCAGACATAGCAAGGCAATGGACACGAAGTCCAATTGCCATAGAAACTCCTGTTTAAGCATGTCCTACTTCCGATAGGAACAGCAGCACCAGTGAATATGTGGCTAATTTACAGTAAGTGGGCTTCTTTCAAGTAATACGTACGTCCGCTAAGTAGCCAAATGTTTTTTTTTTCGAAACGTTCCTTTTAGGCAAAATATAAAAAAAAAAAATCATTTGATGAGAGGAGTTGACGAATACTATAACATATACTATATGCGATATAGGCATCCTGTCGAAACGACTGAATCAGCTCAGTCAGAAAATCACCGAAGAGACTTCAATGCGAGATTACATTGAGAAAAAAATACTTAAAATAGATAGGAAGTGGTTATGGCTCCAGAGGTTATATTCGGCGTTCGGTGCAAGAAGCGTAAACAAAACTGACAACGAATCAGCCTGTCGAATGAACCGTAAGGGAAGTTGGAACTAGCGGCTCGATATTGGTCAACAGCTGATGTCTCTAAGACAAACAAATACACTGGACGCTTTAAGGAGGAAAAATAGAAATCATAGATTATGGTAGCTTGATATAATTCCGCCACCTGGACTGAGTCTAGCAGGGTACAGGTTCAATTCAGCTTACTTCTCAAGCTAGGTCCTCGAGCGTACGTAGTAAAACGAGCAGTAAAGTAAGCCATATCAGGGGACTGGCCAGACGAGATGCATTGAGTATATCATTAGATGCTACTCTAAAACGAACATGTTAAAATGTTCAGATGCACATCATTAGCATCAAATCTATCGAGGCTATCGAGATAGTTTTGTATTATACGTGTATTATAACTAGCGTTGTTAAAAACCAGATATTTCTATAAGCTATTATTATTTAAACTAAATGTCTCTGTATTGTAGAGTAATAAACAAAATAGTGAAAAGAAAGAAGGTACCTACGTAGAAATAGATGCACGGTCATACACATTAAGAAAGAAGTTATTAAAAAAAGCATTTACGTATGATAAAATATAGAGTAAATATTATGCAAGGCTAACAAGATTAATTCGTATAAAATAGGACACTTTGTTGGTCAATACGTCGATCGGCAGAACGTGTTCAACTTTGTCTCAACAGTCAGCTCCTTCTCTACACAACTGGTAGCTCACCTGAAAACGAAACACATACAGATTAGTTAAAGGCTAAGCTTAGGAAGAATTAAAAAGCTACGTTCAGACAGAAATATTTAATCCCGATAAGTAAAATTGTAGAATCAAAAGTTGATTAAAATAGCTGTTCGGTGTGTGTATATGTACCTATGACAGTCAATTTTGTTTAACTTGCAGAAAAAGTGAAGAGATATCGTAAGGAGCAAAGTCGAAGCCCATACTGCAGACTAGATCTCCGTTTAAGGATCCCTATGTTTCTGCAGAAATGATGTGTGCAGAAATCGGTAGGCCCTCCGAGGTCCGATTAAATCATTTGTCAATAGAGTGTCAAAATAATTTTTTTTGAATATGTTGAGGAACGGACGTGTCGTATAAAGGTTCGGTCGTAGCCAGTACGCAAACACATGAGAGCATGGAGCCTTCAACCAAGCCAAATCAACCCCCGAACTATCAAAAGTTGACTGGTAGTATATATATACATATAGGTTCGATTAGATTCAAAGGTTATATTTATAAAAATACGATAAGATAAACAAAACATAATAGAAAGAAAAGAAGTGCTTAACCGGAACGAATCGAAGGCATTCCTATTATCTTCTTCAGATTGAAATTCTTTGCCCAGCAATGTGGCGTGTGCCCACTGGCTGGTCCTAACCGCGCATATGACGACGGATACGTTTTCTAATCTAAATTACTCTGCTAACACACAGGAAAACTGTGAGAAACAACATAACCTGGATCTGAGACATCCATATCGTTATATTGTACACTCTGAATACAGCTTAATAACGCAAACCGCTTTTCGAGACCAATATCTTCCCCTAAGCGTTAGTTTTGCCATTCGTCCACTTGGTAAAAGAACTTGAACCCTGACAAACAAACAAGTACGCAAGTAAAATTATTAAGTACTTTTTTAAACTTCTACATCTCTTTCGTAGGATAGTGCACACATGTGTTATAAACCTCCACTTCAATATTAAATGTAATCAACTAATCTTTAATGTCTAGGATCGCGTCTTTTATGTGCTGGCATACGCAGTACGCAAGTAATATGAATTCAGTATATACCAGGTTATTAGATATAGTTGCTATTAAAACAATATCTGCTCATCTCGTAAGTCAATATTCCACACATTCAATTTTAAATTCATCACATTTGTAAAAAACTGTAATTCCTCAAAAAATGATAAGTTATACTAAACAACAGAGTTCATACAGGCATATTTTTTTACAATAACAATTGTTAATTGTTGAATAGTAATTATAAGGAAGTAATCCGTGATGAGTACTACTGTAGGTAGCGTAGGTAAGCGTAGCGCATACATTGCTTGCGTTCAGCGATGCAGTTAAATGGCAGCACCGTCTCGCAGGCTTCGACGATTCACGACTCATTTAGGTTCCGTGGGGAGATTAAGTCGATGATGACTCGTTAATGTTCAATGGACCCCCGAAGGCTTCGGAAGCGCCCTAAATTAATAATCATGTCACCCTTTCATATGTTCGCGATCTATATTAAATATGTAAAGGGCAATCTTATTTACGTCGATGAAGGAAGTAGGCGGGATAGAGAACGTTGACAGGTAAATAGATAATTCTTTTCATCATATGAAAACATGCAGGTTCCTTATACTGCAATATGCAAACGCACAGCGTACGTGCTTCAATTAAATAGATAACCGAAAGTGTCTTTGTGAGGCTTCGACTGGTCTTCTTCAGTTGCGCTTTGCAACATCAGGTCATTAGGTCACACTGCTATCGAATGTAACTGGGAGAAGAAAGCCTAAGGCACATAGACAATCACTCAAGGACCATTTAGTGACCTGCTGGCGTATAAGCATTCCCCACCAAAAATAGTACTGTTGCATGGTACATGCGTATGTTTACTCAATGCTAAGATAAGATAAGGGAAACTGTTTCTAATGAATAGCATATGCTAATTATTTAACTCCTATTCGATAAGCTTGATTTAATTGACAGTGCACCATCACTTTGATGTTAAATGATAAATATAATACGCCGTCCGGGCGCGCTAGTGATGGCTTCCTGAACAAAAATCAAGCACACATGCACAACAAACAGTTATCATCGCGTCCCGGTACGCACACTCCTCGGCTGAATTCTATGGAAACATTGGTGAGAGACGCCTCAAAATGCTGCAAAGTTTCGAACATTGCCTACAGATTCTTGAGGTTCTATAAACAGCATATTGAAATTTCGCATGTGCCGTGTAAACGATGTAGAGGTACACTTGAACGAAAAAAAAATAGCCACACTCCTAACCGGTATTCTATTGCGAATACTTGAGTCCCTTACACAAACGACAATATATATATATATATGTACACATATGTATCTTGTCTACGCATGTATCATATGTTATGCGTTTACGATGTGGACGATGTAAATAACTCGCAGATGCCGTCACCACCGTCTGGTTATTTAGTTTTATTCAACGGTCACACTCGCTGAATAATTTCTTAAGAGGAAGCTTATCTACTACTGTGATTGTTACTACGATTGTTATGAAAGGAAATTACATGGCAACAAGGGAAGGCAGAGGCCGAAAAGAAAGACTTCTGCTGAGATGAAAATGGTCGCTAAACCATCGCTAAAGTTTAGTTCAAAAACAATATCGACAAGTAATCCACTAGTCGAGTTAGAGAACTAAAAGCTAAAACACAGGAAGTTCATTAGCGTTGTAGTAGGTTTTAGAAAAAAAAGTTTAATAACTTGTGTGCGGGAAATATGTTTTATTTGCTATTACAATGTCCGTCCCTGCGATCTGCAAACTGCTACTACCCCGGCTATTTGTGAATTACTGGTTGCTTAGAAAAGCTCTGCTGGCGAATAGTTAATAGGCAGACCCAACATATTCATGCTACATTGTGTGTATGTAGGGAAATATGTAACAACTTAACAGTTCTGCTTATACTATTACTATAGTACATTTGTGTAGAAGAATAGGACCCGAGCGAACACCACAGGAAAGTTATAGCGTATCACAGTACCTACTACCTAAGAGAGCTCTACATTGTTAATCTTCTCAAAATTTAGGCAACCCTAAGACAACTGATAAAACACAAACTTAACCTTGCATAATAAGAGATGCGATCATAGTATTCACAGTGTAGCGCTTTCTAGCATAGGAGATAAGCACGAACCTATAGACCCACCGAATAGTTGGCTAAGTTGAAATGAATATTAATTTATTAAAAGTCGTATTCCTGAAACCCTGTTAGATAAAAGATGTTAACATTGATCCTTCGGTAATTAGCATTAATATGATCATATGTAATGGACAAGTGAGAGCGATAGAGTGACATGAGTATTTGAGTTTGTTTTATTACTGAACTCAGAATCTATCCTCTCCAACAGATGTAAACCTATCAATTACTACTGCTTCGGAGTTACGCAGGAAATCGATAATTCTTCGACATAAGATGATTCGGACGCGGTGGACAGCCGTAAATGGCTGATGATCGAGTCAGCCGGAAGGAAGTGCAGCTTTTAAACAAAGCAGGATACATAGCCACATATTTCAAACCAATAAATGTTTAGGTAGTGTCATGTAAGTTCATCAAGAGGCGTTATCTCGTTGAAACTTTTATCGTTCTCTCGATGTTTTAAGTTGCATGGAAGCAACTGATAGTCAATGATAGTGAGTATCGGATTTGTTAGAAAAAAACTGACTGAACCCTACTATCAAAAAACCTGAATCAACTGAACCAATATGATTTACAGCTGCATTTGACTACCGTTCAATATCTAATGCATGATAGTTTAGCATTACCGTATCTATAGTTACACCTGTCTTATCTGCTGCATTTCACCTTATTCTTAGGAAGTGTACTCCAAGCTCAGTGTCAGCATATGGATGTCTCTTATCTTGTATCGTCCAAATAAGTATTTATTTGTTACTTTAAGAAATTAATTATTAATTAGTTAACACAACAATAAGGTCTAGCAAATTGTATAATGCATTTTTGTTAAATAATTTCTAAGTCAGTTAATGTTAATAGTTAACTCAAATGCTTCATCTCATTTGTCTTTCAAATATGCTACGACTCTTGCATCTATCGTCAAGAAAATGTATCTCCCTCTAGCAAACGTTGCACGCGGTTAAAAGAATAAGAACGTTAGTGAAGACTTCTCGAAAAATGCCTCACTTATTAAGTTCGAGACAAGAAGACACCGCGAGGATACCATCCTTGACAAGACATTGGTTGGTAACATTCATAACGAAATTCAGCCAAAATTTCGAAAGGCCTATATACTCCAAATGACGTCAAGCCAATCTGTAAATGAACTGAAAAACAGACTACCCAGCGAGCTTGGGTTTTAAAATGAAATATGTTTAGTAGATTATTCAATAATGAATCCCGAAAAATTCTAGAAATCGATAACTTGTAAATGTGTGAGGTATATATAAGGAATATTATTTTCAGTATTTTAATCGGAAACCTACTTTTGACTAAATTATAATATTCAGCTAGAACATTTGTACACTGCATTATTGGTTACAGCCAGCTTTGTTTTTAATATAACAGGTACAACAAACTACGCTTGATTACTAGGCTAAACAAATGAAATTTATTAAACATAAGAACATTTTGCGCAAAAGGCAAATACGCAAAATACTTCGTTGTTTATCGCCACATGTGTCGTTATATTAGCTATGCTTTTTCAACGACGAACAACGTTTATCATACGTGTTCAGTGCGTTCTTTATGCACGGATTCCGTAACGAAATTTCATCAGCCTGACAATCTGAATCTTCATAAAATCATTATGATAATAAAAATAATATCGACGGTAATATCAACAATAACGAGCGCTTTTTTTAATGTACTCAAAACTTAATAATGCTTCTAATAGTTTTTCCCTCATGCAGAAGCTCGAATGCCTTATTGATATCCTCCAAACCGAATTGCCCTGTGATAAATATGTCCAAATTGAGTTTGCCGGCCATATGCTTGTCGACAAGTTTCGGAACCGAATCAACTGACTTCCATCCACCGAAGGCGGTTCCCTTCCAAACTCTTCCCGTCACCAGCTGGAAGGGCCGGGTCGATATTTCCTGACCGGCTGCTGCTACACCAACAATGACACTCTCACCCCAGCCCTTGTGACACGCCTCGAGAGCGGCCCGCATAGTGTCGACGTTACCGACACATTCGAATGTGTAGTCGAGGCCGCCATCCGTCAGATCAATCAACACCTGCTGGATCGGTATATCATAGTTTTTTGGATTGACAAATTCAGTAGCGCCGAGCTCCTTCGCCTTAGCCCACTTGTCCGGGTTGATATCAACAGCGATGATACGCTTTGCTCCCTGTTCCTTGCAACCCATTATTGCTGCCAGACCGACAGCACCTAGGCCGAAGACTGCGCAGTTCGAGCCAGACTCTACCCTGGCGATGTTTAAAGCCGCTCCGTAACCGGTTGACACACCGCAGCCGAGTAGACAAACTTTCTCGAGCGGGGCTTTGTCATCGATTTTGCAGAGGGAAATGTCTGCAACGACGGTGTATTCAGAAAACGTCGACGTGCCCATAAAGTGGTAGACGGTTTTTCCATTGCATGTAAAACGTGTCGAGCCGTCAGGCATCACGCCCGCACCTTGTGTTGCGCGAATCTTCGAGCAAACGTTTGTTTTGGGAGAGGCGCAAAACTTGCAATCCTTACACTGTGGAATATATAACGGAATGACATGATCGCCACGTTTAAACGTTGTCACGTTAGGCCCAACAGACTCGACAATGCCACCGCCTTCGTGGCCCAAAATCGAAGGGAAAATCCCTTCGGGATCATGACCTGTAATGAAGAGTGATTTTTTATTTTATGAGTTTCTTTTTAGTTCGATTAGCTGAAATAAAAACTAAACTATCAAATGGCGTAGTTGAGCGCGCACCGGAACCTCAACAATTGTATTATAAGATATTATATTTCAACACCTTTTGAAACAATTCTCAACCACCGGTGGACACTAGGATTTTAATATCAATAGCTATATTGAAATGTTAATTAAAACGGCAGCGCGTAATACATACATTCAAAGTGCTAATATATACAAGTAACGACGCAATGGGATGTCATTTAACCACTAACCCACATTGTGTATTGGTAAAAGCTGCTAAGCCAAGAAATAAGCATTCGAAGCGGAGGAGACAGCATTGCGCTGAAACCTAAAGAAATAGATTTCATAATTATTAGAGATCGTGATATATCCGGAAAGAAAACGCTTACAACGATCTAGACAATGGAGCTAACACACATTCATTCCGCTTTTGGTCCGTGTAAGAAGAACGCCTGGTCGCGCCGCTAACAGAACGATAATCAAGACACAATGTTCATCAGTACTTTTAGACTAAGACAAAGTATCCAATCATTATTATCATCAGTTCGTAAATCAAAAAGGAGTTTGTTGCAGTCAGTCAGACAAATAGCTCTTGTGAAGTGATTTGTTAAACCTGTGGTGATTTATCCAAGCAAATGGATCTTTCATCAAACTTTGTGCCTGAATGATGAGCCATCAATGAAATTTTCAGTCGATTGAACATTGCGAAAAGGCGAAATACCACAAAGCCAAATTAGAATATCCTTCACTCAACGAATCATGGGACTTTCGTAAATATGATAAATATCAACTAACATCTCTCGTAAATAGATGTTCCTATAGCAACAATGCGTACGCGAAAATACATGTTTTTATACGTTATAGAAATAAGGGGAAGTTTGCTATCCAATATAAAAATATAGTATTTAGTACCATATTATGATAACAAATAACCTGATAGTTATTATCATCATTCAAAGTCCGCGACGTTCTGTGCCTATATCTTCTACGTTGACAATGTGACTGAGTATTTCTTTGAATTCGAGCGTGAACATGTTCTTATAATGACGAAATGCAGATGGCGAGACCAACTATAATACGAGAATGACTTGTGCCAACTCCTTCATACGGTGACCGCGAGTATGCACTTCAGCACTTCAGAAGCCGCACAGTATTCGTGAACCATCCTGATTGATATTTTATGTGTCCACTCCTTCTGCGGAGTAGCTTGATAAAGCTTGAATGAGATAACGTAGAAAAGACTTGTTGAAGCCAAGGATTAACACTAACACCCACGACCCGGATAACGGAATACATTAGCATATTGAGTCCAAATTTGTTGCATTAAACTCAGCGACTGGCAATAGAGAAGAAACGTTAAACAAAGGAAAACTCTTTCCTACTATTATTTCTACTATCGGATGTTGCAGATTTATTCAACGAAAACGCCTTCCTTTGCAGACCTTAGCCACTTAATAAAAGGTCCTACTTAAAACTTCTTTCTGCTTCGCACGTCTACTAGACAATTTTTATCGAATGTTCTCAATATATATTATACGACACTACTTAAAATATGCACGTTTTATAGTTTTCGAAATGGATTGACTTTAATTCGAGAAACAGGGTCAATTTCGTTAGCCACAAATTTGAACATTCCCAGCATCGCCTAAGGAAAGGTTTCAAAATATAGGGATTTGCACCTTTCCGTCTGCCGTTGCCATAGAAACGGGAGCCTCGACAATTTGCGTGAAAGAAAAGCTAGTAACAACGAATAAAAGAGTCTCTCCAAAAGCCACTCTGCCGCTATTAATACAGCTGTCAGTACACAAATCGTGGTAGGTTTTGTTAGTAGTTTCTTCTTCTCTTAACCGCCTCCTATCAAACAGCTACCGACCACCTACGACCAATTCATTTTACGAAAAAAAAACTGTCAAGCAACAATTAAGTAATTACAAAACGAGATGACAGTTTTCGCAAACTAGTCTAAAGCAATATTTCCGTGTACCAAACAACAGTTCTACGAAAATAGCAACAGTTTTACATGTAGACATAACAGGTAAAAATGCAACATAGGTTACAGCAATCTAGGCAGCAGTCGTAAACCATTCCGGAGAAACAAGTCAAGACAGCATTGCTTCTACAGATTTTTCCTGACCCTTAAGTCATCACAAGTTGTTATTCAATTCACAACAATTACATACAAAAAATTGACATATTGAAAGCTAACCATTGCACCAACAAACAAATTTACTTGGCGAATGTGTATGCATATAGATATACCCATTACGGCACCTTCGAGGAATGTCCATTTATGATTCTTGACCAAGGTGTTCTACCAAACATAAGTTTGGCTAGATTCAGTATATCATACAGCGGATATATTAACCTATTTACCGGTCACAGATTTTTAAATCACCAAGACAACTCATATTATTAATGTCTAATACGCTTTCCATATTGGTATTACTACACATCAATAGAACCTTTGTACCTGCGTTGAATTAACAAGCAGAGCATAAAAATGAGACAGCTGGGATGACTCCAAGTGAATGAGAGAAGTAAGCAACATTGAAACTAGTACTGATTTTGTACTATTTCAAATAGGGACCATTTCTGAATGAAAGGGCAACTGATATTTTAGCCACATAATACTATTAAAAGTGCTATGTTTCGAAGTTCTGTTGACCAAAAACTATGGAGGATGGTTTGAGGGACGATTTCAAATGAGTAATGGTACAGAGCCATCAACGACAACACCATAATTGCAGCGGACGCAGCAATGGTAGTCAGCAAAAAGGAGCAAAACAAGAGTATCACTAATTAATTCCAACCAATTACCAGTATATCCCCTGGGGCCTAACTGACCTGAAACAGTTTTCGAGTGTTTCGTGAGTAAACGTAGTAAAGGCACCAACCAGCGGTTACCGCCGGCGGCTTGCCGATGAGCCGAATCGAAATAGGCTCTAACGAATTTACTATCCCAAAACGTTCTGCCTCTCATCGATGACAGAGGAGATTCGCAGTGCACACGATAGGCACGTAAATGCATCGCTCTAATGAATGATCAAGGAGGAATCTTCCAAACTCTATAGCGAGTCTTGGGATAACACAATTTTACAGCAGATGTAACAGTTTTTTTAATAGAGATTATGTTCGATTAACTGAAAAAAAAATGTATTCGTTGGCAACGCCGGTTGGCTAACCAAAGTTGCAAAAAATAGTACAGCGATTGTTTCACGAAAAAAAAAAATTCCAGGCAAACTTGTTTTGGAGTATTGTGTGTATGTTCATAAATTATTACGTAGAATAATCTCGCCGTAAATTTGTGACCGGTTAGTTTTAATGGCTGGGAGGTTTTCTAGTCAACTTCAATATGACGAAATGGGAAGACCGCTTAAAGAGTGTTTACAAAAACGCCTTATGATCTTACCGGAGAGGAGAATCAAGGGCTCTAATAGCTCTTAGCAATGCCATAATCACACGCAGTTTATATATTACCTGTGCTCCACAGGATCTTCATTGTGACCTCATTAAGAGCTAACATGCGCCAGAAACACGTTCAAGGCTTTCATTATATATATGTGTTGTAAATGGTAACCACTTAAATTTTTAGAACAACTTTTTGACATCATTGCTTCTCTATTTTCTCGCAATCTCACATTTTGCCTTAATTACAGAATATGTTAATTTACACAAGTGTTTTTGAACATTTTAGTATAAAGACCGGGAATTTCTATTTGCCAGTCTTAATGTTACGTTGTGATTTAGTACCGCGTGAAAATTTTTCGACGTGAGCATATATGAGAACTATGCTCATTAGAACAGTGTTAGACTGCTTCTAGCAGCTACGTTTGGTTTCATTGAATTGAAGGATAAATAGCCTACATGTGCATTATCGAAGAACAACGAAAGGTACTACCACTAGACGACCTCGTTATCACAACAGTGGCTGCAACAGGTGCATCGACAGAGTACCGTAAATGAGAATCGAAAAGTAAATATAACATTTAAAAATCACCAAAATTTGGCTTACTTACCTCCAAGCGTGTACGCGTCCGTATGGCAGACCCCCGTGTAAAGAACCTTCACACGAACTTCGTTGGCCTGTGGAGGTGCCACAGTTACCGTTTCAATCTTAAGCGGCTCCTTGGCGGCCCATGCCACGGCTGCGCGGCACATGATGGGTGTGCCCTCCGTATTCTCCGGTAAACTAAATAACCCTGACATGATGTTGGCGTTCTGACTCGTTCAACAGAGCTAGCTACCTTTACTAATAGCCGATTATATATATATATATGTATATATATATATATATAGGTATAGTTACACTATGCTTTCGGAAATGATTCTGGGGAAATTTGGTTGGGATTTAATACAAAGGCCGTCCGGCTCCGCAATTGCAACTGCGCTTGTTAGCGAGGGAAAGAGATCGCTCTACTAAACAAGATACAGCGTTCACTGGGCAATGCTATTGACACACCCGTGCACACAAACTAGTAACGTTCAGCTCGCTAGCACGATGAATACTCAGTAAGCATTGATCTTTCAACGTCATAACCATTCTGGCTTTCCTCTTAAAATATACCGGCGGACTGGCCGGTTAGCAAGAACGCACAGCAAGCGCAGAGCTTCTGCTTGCAGCCAATCAGAGTCATCGACACACGCCCACTTAAGACATTGTCTGTTGACTTCCACGCGTTTGAATTTTTGGCGGGTTTTCACGCGCGGCCCGCATCAGTAAAATTATTTGATTAAAATTGTAGATGTAAGTGGCAAGTGAAATAAACTAATTAAACAAATTATGCAGTTGAATTGGCCCTATAATTGAAGATCACCATACTTCGGGCAGCTTTGATGAGTGGCCATTTATTGTGCCTCGAGAGTTCATTGAAAGACAAACAATACATACTGGGAAAAAATCACAAAAACTATGATATGAGTCTAGAACAAATCTGATCCTTTCGCCGTAGCCATGAATGAGTTTTGTTATCAATTTTTAATTGGCTAAGTGACCGACTAAGGAGACGATTAAGCAAAGTAAGTTGCTCATGTTGTTAGTGGTAATGAAATATGATTATTATTAGCCTTTAACTTCCTTTTTTCCTATTTATAAAAGTGAATTAAAA